TTTATTATAAAGCTAAATAAAAATAAATAAGAAAACTAAAAATAAATCTACAAGTGGCACTATCATATGTGAAGGGTGGTGAGGACCACATGGAGAATAGGGGACCATACTTGTTCCCCACTCAATACTCTCCTTGTGCCACATGTCCCTCACCCCACTTGCTTTCCATATGCTCCCACTTGCTTCCCTTGTACACAGCCCTATGGCCCATTCACCGCCCGTCGAGAGCCCAGCCCGTGCGTGCGTTGCTAGCACGCACGGCTTGCGGTAGCTAGCTGCTGCTAGCACGCGATGCTTGCGGCTACTAGCACGCTGCTAGCTGTGGTGCGCTAGCATGCACCAACCGACCGTACATGGCTCGGCTTGGTGCGCTTTCTAGCCACCTATGCTAGGACAATTTTTCCCCTAGCACTTGGATGCTCGGGGCATTCCGATGCTAGGAGTATTTTGGGAAATATTAGCGATTTATTATTATTTGAGCGTCTCGTCATTTATTATTTTTGACTCGACTTTCGACGCTCGGTTTCGACGCTCTAAGCTCGAATTTCCGACGTCTAAATATTTAATACTCGGGCGACGAATTAATTTCTTCCGAATTAATTCGTCGAGTCGGTTCATTTACTGCAAAAGGTGTGACCAGAAGGGTTCAGTCAAGATTAAGCTGTAATATTAATTATGCATTAATATTAGGAAAAATTGTCAGTAACTACACGCTTAATAGGGGTATTTGGAAACAACTACCCACTTAAAAATTTTATCAAAAAAACTTCCCCTAAAATTTAAAAAGTTAGAGTAGCACTACCCATTTGCATTTTCCGGCGAGAAAGTCCGGCGTGTGGGGCCCACTTTTTCAATTTTTCTTCTGAAAATTCCTAATTGAGAAGTGAGAACAAGTAGGATATGCAATTCATAGGTAATTATTCTCTTTTAATCCATTAATTATGAATTTTGATGTTAGGGTGTAACAATTAGAAAAATTAGGGTTCTTAGAAATTAGGGATAATTTGAAATTGGTTTAATTTGTTGCTTTTAATTCAAATTTGTTATCTTAGGGTTATGAATTAAGGTCCAATTTGTCATTGCATCGTGTCTTTTCACAGAAAAATTGAAAAAGTGGGCCCATGTGCCGAATATTCTCGTCGGAAAATGCAAATGGGTAGTGCTACTCTAACTTTTTAAATTTAAGGGGTAGTTTTTTCGATAAAATTTTTAAGTGGGTAGTTGTTTAAAAATACCCCTATAAGCGTGTAGTTCCTGACAAATTTTCCTTAATATTACTGATCAGAATATATTAGCTTTCTAATAATTCTGAACCCACTGACGGAATAGTACACTTGTTCGAAGGACACCATTCGTTTCAGCATTTTTGCCACTCTTTCATCCTTTTTTCTCTAAGGATTCTCCCCTCATTTGCACTTCTTTGGCCCTTTTCTAAGCATTTTACCTTAGTTTTGTTTTCTCCATTCCCTTCTCTTTTATCTTCCTTTTTCCTAGATTTTTGCCTACTCTTTATTTTGATTTCCATGCTTGTGTTTTGTAGGTATCATATGCCGAAAGAGGGAGGACTTCACGACAACTGCACGGGCGCGCATCCTTGGCTATGCGGGCGCGCATCCCTGTCAGAACTCGAGCAGCCAAGCTCTAGAATTAGAGCCAAACTAAAGTGTTTGCGCGACTTACTGTGCGGTCTCCGTGTGGGGGCTCCTCGTTTCCCCGTACCCTCAAAGTTGCGGCCGCGCAATATTATGAGAGGGCGCACATTGCTACTGCGTGGGCGCGCATAATTTGTGTGCTGGCGTGCACCGCTGCTTTTCTGATTTCTTTGTGTCATGTTGCCCAAGTTTCTTTCGTTTGGGGAGCCACATATATATAGTCTAATTTTTGATAGCTAATTTCTTAGCTAGGGGAAGAGGGTGGAATATATGTGTTGATATTGGATGAATGATGATGGTTGGATTGAACTCATGCCTTAATTGATGAGAGAGATGATTTTTGATAGCTTGAGATTATTGTTGCACTTTATTTGATGTTTTCTAATTTAAATACATGAAAGTGATTTCAACTAGATTAAGATCATCTTTATTTTAATTATTGCATGAGAATGAGTTATGAAAGTGGAGTTTTATGGATTATGCTTCTTTATTCTCTTGATTTGATTATAACTAATAGGATGCATGAGAATGATCCTTATTAGTATAGACCTCTTTCATTGATTTACCTAGACTATTGCATGAGAATAAATTGTTTAGGTAGAATCTTGTGTTCTTTGGCATGTTCTTCATGATAATCATCATTATTCCTCTCTTTCTAATCATATTTGACACCCCCGTATCCCTAGCGTTATTTTCCCTTGATTTTAATCATCATTTTCCTTGCTTATTTGTAGTTTTAGTGCTCTTTACTAAAAGACAAACAAAAACGATCCCCTTTTTACTCTTGCATTAGTAAATATTGATGTTGAATTAGTGTGCTTCCCTAGTGGTTTGACCCTTTACTTGCCACTAACTAGTTTAGTGCAAGTTTAGGTATTATAAATGATTAATTTGATTAGGGTAGTATACCAACAACCTACTTTTTACCAGCGATCAACTTTTTTTTTGAAATGCAGCAAAAAAAGCACCGTGACACGGTTTCGTATCACAACAATATGCACCGTGCCATGTCAGCCTTTGCCGCGTCGCGTCATTTTAGCTGCTGCGCGGTAATTCAAGTTTTTTATGCGTTTTTAAAAATAACTTGGATAAGGCATATAATATATAATTGGATAGATTATCAAGTCTAGTTTGCAACTCTATTAGAATCAGGTTGAAATCATTTGTAGATTTTACGATATGCCCATTTTAGTGAAAGGGTGTCGATTTTTTTTGGCCGAGTTTAGTATTTTGCTTATATCTTCTTCGTTATAAATTAGAATTGGGCCTATGATATATTTTTGGAAATATTATTAAAAGGCCTATCCAACCCAATAATAATTAGATCAAAATTATCGGGCTACAAATCAGTTTTTCTCGGTTTTGTGATGTGGACACGAAAAATGGAAAGTAAGCTATGGTTTAGGGAAATGAGCTAGGAATTGGATTGGTTTATGAAATGTATTTAAACACTCCAAAGGTTAAATACTGAACTCGACCAACAATGGCGGTGAAAGGTTGTTCAACATCGGGTTTAGTTTTGAGGAGACATTTATAGGTTTCAACAAAAGCCCCCACTTTGACTGAGTTTGTTGAAACATCAGTTATGAAAAAGATAATTAAAATAGTCGATAGGGACGGAGAATGATTTAAGACGTTTTGTGATCCTAAATCACTCTTTATACGCCGATACCTGCAGAAGAATGTTAGTTCCACAGATAAAAGAGTAAAGAGATAGAATACGTATTTGACACCAGTGTATTGGTGACGTATTTGTGATGGTATCTAACACTAGTGTATCGGTGAAAATGAGTTTGGTAGTTGTCTATGCTTGAAGAAATATACCGGATAATGTTTGTTGAGATATTTTTCATGCTTGAGAAAAGTCAACAGATGAATTTGGTAGTTTTCTATTCTTGAAGAAATCCACCGGATGATGTTTATTCAGATACTTCCCATGCTTGAGGAAAGTCAACAGATGAATTTGGTAGTTTTCTATGCTTGAAGAAGTCCACCAGATGATGTTTGTTGAGATACTTTCCATGCTCTAGGAATGTCGATAGATGATATAATCGCTGACTTCTTCGCCTTGAGAGGTGGCTAAGATCTACAATTTTCCATGCTTGAGGAAAAACTAGTCTGATGATAAGATTGCAAGTCTCTAGGTATCGAGAACCTTGCGATGTGGAATCGTCTTCGCTTGGCAGATGATCGCCAAAATGATAATAGTTCGCTTTTCCCAAACGTGGGCTATAGATGGTTCGCTTTCCCTGAACGTGGGATGTAGATGGTTTGCTTGTCCCAGAAAGTGAGCTGTAAATCATTCGCTTGTCCTCAAAAGTGGGTTGTAAATTGTTTGCTTGTCCCCGAACGTGGGCTGTAGATGGTCCGCTTGTCCCCGGATGTGGGATGTAGTTGGTTCACTTTTCCTCGAACGTGGGCTGTAGATTGTGAAAGGAATGGTGTCCTTCGAACAAGTGTATTATTCTGATAGTGGGTTCAGAATTATTAGAAAGTGATAGAGGAATAATCGAGTCGTTAGACAACTACACCTAAATCAAATATAATTTATAACACTTGACTTATCCTAATACAAGTATATGGCAAGAAGAGGGATCGAACCACAGGGAGAAGCACATAAACACCGCATTCATCACTAGACTTTAAGCTATCTCGGGACAAAGAAGAGGAATGACTAAGAGATTAAACTAAAGGTAAAACGAGTTAAAATTAATATAACTAAACACCAAGGGAAATGGGTAGATGTATATGCCTCTTTATCATGCAATAACATAAAAGCAAATCAATAGTGAACTAAACATGCATGAATATCGAAATAAGGTCCAATCAAACCGCTTTCTGGGGTTAATCGGTTTCTCCTAACATAGCCTCTATGTTTCTACACTAGAACCATATATTGGGAGGTGCAATCAAAGAACAATCGATAGTAATGAACCTTAACTAAGTAAACTTCCGTTCCTTGTTAGAAAAGATTCACCTTTAATCAACCAACAATATGCACTTGCAAGAAGATCAAAGAATATTAAGCATGCAAAGATTTTAATCACAATTAACTTAATCCCAATATTGTAAGCATGAACAATTAGCAACTACACCATCCCCACACCCTTGGCTAAGTGACTACTCACAAATCATGTTGAAAACAATATCAATCACCAAATCAATAAGCATCAACATGATTAATAAGAAAAGAAGTAAAATCAAAGTAAACAAACAAAATTAAATGCAAAAGTAAATAGAAAGAGTAAGAGATTGCTCATTAATTGAAGTTGAAGATCTACAAAAGATTAAACAAGCTTCTTCTTCAAAATCCAAGTTCATCAATGAAAAAATCCACACTTTCTCTCTCTACCAAATGAAGACTAATAGTGTTTCTCTCTCTAGATTAAGCTAAAAATGCAGAAAGTTAAAACTAAGTTAATCTAATTACATCAAAACGTTCTCAAATGGGACTTATATAGTCCATACACAGCTAGCTGAAGTAAGGGAGTGGTCCGACCGAACACAGGGAAGGTTCGGCCGGACTGTAGGGTAGGTTCGGCCGAACCATGGGTAGGTTCGATCGAACTCCCTTGATCCTAGTCTGGTTGAACTTCTGAGGTTTGACCACTCCTACAAAATCGCTAAAATGCAACTTGAATCTGCCTCTGCGTTCGGCCGGACAGTGGAGCAGGTTCGACCACACCCTTGTTCGAGCGCACCTTCAGAGGGTTCGGCCGAACCTCTCCTTAACCTTGCTTATCTTCAGCTTTCCTTGAACTTTAGCTTCCTCCTCTTGAAGACCCCGGTTCCTACAAAGAATAAGAATAAAAATCAAAGTAAAGAGTAAGAAAATGGGCAAAATCTAGGAAAGAAGATGCATAAAGGGAAATGGAACAAAGTGCAAAGAAAAGGATGCAAACAAGCCGCAAATGTGGGAAAATGACCATCAAAATGAACCTTAATCGTGGCATAAATGCCACTCATTAGAAAACTAGTATATTCAGTAAGGTTAAGTGATTAGAATGCCTAGGTGGAGGCCGCTTTCAATCAAAAATATTAATATATAATTAATATTACAGCTTAATCATGACTGAACCCTTTGGGTCACACCCAAGCAATTAACAAACCGACTCGATGAATTAATTCGGATGACATTAATGAGTCGCCTGAGTATTAAATATTTAGACGTCGGAAATTCAAGCTTAGAGCGTCGAAACCGAGCGTAGGAAGTCGTGTAAAAAAATATTAAATGACGAGACGCACAAATAATAATAAATCGACAATATTCCCAAAATTCCCCTAGCATCGGAATTCCCCGAGCATCTGAGTGCTATGGGCATAATGTGCTAGCTTAGGTGGCTAGCATGCGCACCATGCTGAGCCAAGGCTGCCTGGCTGGTACGTGCTAGCGCACCATGGCTAGCAGCAGCTGCAGCCGCAGCACCCAAGGGGCAGCAGCTGCTAGCAGCCCGCACATGGTGTGCGCGACATGCTAGAAGCAGGCCGCACTTGGAGTGCGTGGCTTGCTAGCTGCAGCAGCAGCCCGCAACTCCAAGTGCGGGGCTGGGCCGTGGCTAGGCTTAGGCGTGGGTAGCTAGAGCCGAGCATATGAGAGGCATGTGGGGTGAGGGACATGTGGCACAAGGATAGTATGGAGTGGGGAGGAAGTATGGTCCCCTACTCTCCAAGTGGTCCTCACTTCCCTTTACATGTATTAATGACACTTGTAGATTTATTTTATTTTAACTTTAAAATAAATTGTGGAATTTCATGATCCCACATTGATGAGATAAAAATTCCCACTCTCACTCTTCCCTATAAATACCCACCTTGGGTTTTTGGGAAGAGTGCTTGAGTAGGAGTTCAATAGAGCATTGCATTTGCAAAAACTCTTAAACTCATATAATACTCGGGTTTTGGTCGTACCTCGCTAACCTCGAAGTAACGCACCTAAAAGTCAGTAGTTATTTTTGCGGGTGGATCTCCGTCGGAGGCTCTCGTGTTTTCGGGGCTAAGCTTTCAAGTAAGAGCCCAATTTTTCGGGCGAAGCACGCGACAAAGGTTTATTTCCTATTTTGCCCTTTTGTGTTTATTTTATGCATTAGTGATATTATTTATTGTGAGCGTGATCCTTGGCTCACGTTTTTTTCCACGGTGAGTGGGACTCATCAAACCGTAACAGCGGTATCGGATCCCCGCTCGTTTATTTTTTATTATCATATTTTTCAAGGTATTTTTAAGGATTAATTTTTCTGGTTATAAGTGGCTAATTAGATTAGTAGCTCGTTTTATCCATTTTAACTTTGTATTAGAGCTGATTTCAGCTCCCAAACCCAGATTTTGACCTAAAAATAGTGAATTTTGGGTGGAAAAGTCGTTCTAGAAATGGTTTTACCCTTTCAAAACTCGGTTTTTAGCAAAAAAAAAACGACCAAAAATGTATTTTTCGAGGGTTTTTTTCATTTTTACGAAAAATTTTAAGTCTTTCTAACCTTTATAATTAATTGCATATTATGGTTGTTATGTAATTGGTCAATACATATTTTATATGAAATTTTAATTCTCTTTAGTCATGATTACTTGATGGTAATTTTTGTTTGAAAGCTTGGTTTTCTTTTTTCACATAATTGCAAATTAATTGCATTAATTGTGAAATTTTTGTTTTTGAGGCTTCTAAAGTGCTAAAGATTCAATCTTTAATTATGTTAAGTGATTGAAACTTTAAAAGCTACTAAATTCCATGAATTTTATGTTGAACTTTGTTATTTTAATCATTTTTGGTTGATTAGAAACATAAAGTTTCAAACTTTGTGATAGAAATTTGTTTATCTTCATATTGGAAGATATAATTTTTCAAGAATTCACAAGTGTTAGTAAATGGATTTTTTCATTTGAATATTAATGTTCATATTTTTCCAACTCCCTCTTACTTTGTCCAAATCTCAAAATTAATTTAAATTGACTAAATTATTAGTGAAAAATTGCCTTATTTATGTTGTTGCACCAAGCTAAACAAATTTAATTAAAGAATGGTTCTTGGAAATTATTTTGGATGGATGCACTTTGATAATTTTATTTAAGTTAGACTTGTTTAAATTTTCATTTTTGCTCATTGAATTAGTTATAAAATTAATTTAGAATTAATTATAATGTCACGCGAATTTTGGGATCAAAATCCCGAGGCTATGGCAAGCAAATCAAGGCAAAACCACCCTTGACCAACCAGGCTGCATAGAAGCCCGCATGTGGCCACCAAGGGGGCTTCCACAATGTTGCGTGCAGCCATGAGCGTGGCTGGTGCGCACATCCACAGCAGCAGCACCAGCCAAGCAGCAGCACGCTGCGGCAATGCTGCGTGCCTGCGTGTGTGCGTGTGTAGCGCAGCACATAGCCGAGCTATGGTGCGGCCTTAGTGCGGCAGTGATGCACGAGAATCATGTACGTGGTCTTGGTGCAGCCGTCATGTGCGGGGGCTATGCCATGGGGCTTGCGGTATGGTGCGCATGGCTAGCAAGCTTCTGTGGCCCCGTGGCTCACGTTCTTGCACGCCCCGTAGAAGAGTCGAAGCGTATGCTGTATTCTAAGCTATGGGTGTGACGTTTGGCATGAGTCACGACCATGCACACCACCCTGTATTTAGAACATGTACTTTGGCAATGATATTTTGCAATTTTGTCGTTTTATTATTCTAATTAATTTTGTTTACTTTAATTAAAACTTTGGAGGCTAGGCCTCGGTTTTGAGCAGCATTGTCAAAATTTATTTTGACAATTTTAGGTTCTACCGGCTTAATTAATTGGATTAATTAAGTTGGTTGCGGAATTTAGTAGGAGCTTCACTTATTAATTACGTCAATTACATAATCGGTTAAACAACTTTGACTAGTTTTAATTAGGCGTGTTAATTGGATTAACCACCTAGATTAGTTACTAGTGCACGCGCGTGTTTAATGCATTATTACTTGTTTATTTTTGTAAAATGCATGGGTCATTCACATATAGTGAATGGATTAATGGAATGTATATTCTCTCATAGGTTTTATAAAATGGCAACTAGTGGGACCCGATTAGGATAGAAAATACGGAATACATGTCGTGATGTATTTTTGTAAATCTAAATATGGTCAACGTACCGTTGAGTATTTTTTGACCTTAATATTTAGGTTAATCCTAGTCATTGATACTAGTAGTTGCATAATTTGGTTAAATCTTGAAGACGGAGGTTCTTGGAAGACAAAGCCATGAAGATGCAAGAGAAGAAATTTTGAAGACTTGAAGAATTCAAGGGGTCATGCTAGTTGCCAACATGCATCTTATACTTATGCTTTATATATTTATGCTTGTGCTTATATATGAATGATATGTTGGATGCATGTGTAGGTTTTCAATATGTTGTGATGATTAGTTAAGCTCACTTAAATCAACCAACATAGAAATCCTATGTCCCTAATATTATTGAGTTAAAACTTGCCTTTCAGAAACAACACTTGCAAACCAAATGAGTGTAATGGTGGGCTACGCCAAGGTGAGGCACCATTACTACTTTGAGGTTGGTGAGGCACACTGGGTGTGCAAGATGATTTTGGTTGAACTCATCGGTATGAGTGAGGAGTCCTCACATGCCGTGGAAAAAGAGATATATCGTCAAGATACATTGGATGCGACGATTACCTAACCAAGAATGGCTTGGAGCTATTAGCAAGGTAATGCTTACCTTGGGATAACAAGTGTTAGGACAAGCCAAAGCATGCCTAAAATACTTGTTGATCCCTTGGATCTTGGAATAGCTTTATTTTCACAAAATAGGGACAATTTTATGTGTAAATAAGACGTTAAATAAGCGATGAAATATGAATAAATGAAATTCAATCTTATTTAAGTATTTTGAATGGTTTTTCATTTAAAATTATTTCAATAGAAGAATCATGTTTTCAAGTATCGACAACAATCTAATATTCCTAGAACTTCCCGAGAAGTTACCATTTAGCTTGAATCTGGTAAACTTCAAGGAATGGGAAGAGGAACTCCGTTAGATCCTCCACAATTGCTACCTGGAGCATATATTGGATACACCCATCCCGAGTTTCTACTCAAAAGGGGTTATGAGCGATGAGGCTCATGAGGAGTGGAGTAATGATTGCAAGAGAGTCTCTCGACTCATAGCAAACTCCATCCCGGAACAGTGGAAGAAGAAATTCTTCAACTACCTTCCGGATGTACTTCTCAAGGATCTAGAAGATGTGGTTAATCTGAGGGTAACAAAGAGCGATAAGGGAAACTATGATGGACTTGTGGAACAAGTGACTAGGTCATTGTCTAACATGAGGATCAAGGCACTACAAGATGGGTGTCTCAGCAAAGAGAGGCAAGAAGTATGGGCTAGGGTGTATAGTGCAAGACTTAGACCCGGGATGCCACTTCTAGCCCATGTGCAAAAGATGACAAGGTTATTCAACAATTTGGAACTGATTGGTAGACTAGTGGAGGATGAGCAAGCAACTCATATGCTTTTAAGCTCACTCCACTCGGGGTAAGATGCAACTTACCAACAATCGGAACAAACTATCCTACAAGGAAGTTGTCCAAGAGCTCAAGAAAACCAATTCTTTGAAGCTGGCTAAGTTTGTTCTAAGGCTCAAGGAGAAGGAGTTCAAAAACAAGGCTAAGATGCGCTGCTTCTATTGTAGTAAGCAAGGCCACTACAAAAGAGAATGTAGCGAGTATCTGGAAGATGAGGCAAGAGGAAAGAAAGCCTCAATCTCAGGTCTCATCATGACACTTGAAAATAAGCATTTTATAAGGTATTAGAT